GCAGTCTTCCTGTCTGTGGACTATGGCGGCGTGGGTAAGTGCCGGTTGGTACCCTTGTGGTTGCGATATGTAGTTTGCTTCTTTATTACATCCCGGTTTGACATCTTTACACAGTGTGGGACGAATGTGGGGCTTTGATCATAGGCGAATTATTTGAAATGATTAGCTTTTATTTTTATTTGGCTGAAAGTATTGCAGTTATAGGACCCCGTACTATATTTTACAAATGTATTCTTTTCTTGAAAGAACCACTTATTTAACTTAACTTTATTTGTTATCATTATCATTACTACTTACTACAGGGCACACGTGCTGACCAGAAAGAGAGGGAAAGTGAGAAAGCAAGCCGCCAGGATCAGGACTTAAACTGGTTGGCCATGTGGGAGTGTCCAGCCCTTAGCTACCACACCGCGTGCTGGCCCCTAGATATAGCAACACTCTTGATGACTAGGACAGAAGAGGTAACCAATGGGTATAAATACAGTAATAGTTATAGGTATGGTTATAAACTGAAGTATTCAGACGTATTATGCAATCTACCAAATTTCCCTTTGGGGGAATAAATTCTGCTCCCCAAATATTTCTGTAGATACAGGGACATCTTCAGGACATCTTAGTGTGACTGTATTTGGACAGGTGGTCTTTGAAGCAGTAGTTAAAAAGAGGTCATTGGGGGAACCAGCAGTTAGCGTAATGGCTATGTCGCTGGACTCCCACGTATTTGACCGCGGTTCACGTCCTGGACCGGTGGCTTAAAACTCACGCCGGGCGCATGTGTGTGCATGCCCAAGATCCCGAGAGGAGAAGGGATTGTGGCGTGACCATCCCCCCTGGGGGGGTGATCTCTCGCTTTCTGTCTCTATGTCTCTCTCTCTGTGTGTCTGGCGAGCCCCGCCCCCCACAGGAAAAAACTCCCAAAAAAAAAAAAAAAAAAAAAAAGGTCATTGGGTGGTCTTTGAAGCGGTAGTAAAAAAGACGTAATTAGGGTGGGCTCTAATCCAGTATGACTAATCTCCTTATAAGAGGAGGCAACTAGGGAACCAGCAGTTAGCGTAATGGCTATGTCGCTGGACTCCCACGTAGTCGACCGCGGTCCGAGTCCCGGACCGGTGGCTTAAAACTCACGCCGGGCGCGTGTGCGTGCATGCCCAAGATCCCGAGAGGAGAATGGAGGAGAAGGGATTGCGGAGTGACCATCCCCCCTGGGGGGTGATTTCTCGCTTTCTGTCTCTATGTCTCTCTCTGTCTGTCTGGCGAGCGCAGGCGCCCTATAGTGAAAAAAAAAAAAAAAAAACCTCTTAAAAAAAAAAAAAAAGAGGAGGCAACTAGGACCCTTCACATGACACAGGGAAGGGCATGTGAAGATGCAGGAAGAAGGCTAGCACAATAAGCCAAGCAGGTGGGTCTCAGAAGAAACCAGCTCTGCAGACTTTTTTCGGGAGAGGTTTTTTTCGCTATAGGGCACGTTCGCTCAGCAGACAGAGACATAGAGACAAAAAGCGAGAAATCACTCCCCACGGGGGATGGTCATGCTGCAGTCCCTTCTCCCCCATTCTCCTCTCGGGATCTTGGGCATGCACGCATATGCACGCGAGTTTTAAGCCACAGGGTCCAGGAGGGGAACCGTGGTCGACTGCGTGGGAGTCCAGTGACATAGCCATTAAGCTAACTGCTGGTTCCCCAGACTCTTTAATTTCAGATGCTCAGCCTTTAAAACTGTGGGAAAATACGTTTGTCTTTTTGCACTACCTAGTTTCTGATAATTTCGTTATGGTAGCCCTAGGTGCTATTTGGAGGTTGTAAACTATTACAATTTCATTTTGAAAGTGAAGGGTGGAACACTTTGAGGTTCAGAAGTCACAGCAGAGTAATATTTGTGGAGCATAGAAAATGATTTATTTAGCAAGATAGAGGTCAAAGTTGCATGTATTCTGAAAGTCACTGAGACTGGTTGTAATTGTACTGGCTGTGGGTCCAGTCCAAGACCACAGTTGTCCTGCCACTCAGGTTGCAACTGCTGGTGGAATGAAAGATAATTTTATTTAGGAAACTGGTCATTTGGGAAGATGGTAAACTAATGTTCAAATACCAACTCTGAAATCACAGACTGTGATAGGGGATCTCAGTGGAAAAGAAGATAAGGAAAGGTGTGAGAGGTGGTGCTACATGTCCATTGTGCAGCCACAAAGGGTCTTGTTGACCCCAGAGTTCCTATGCACAGGGTCACTTCAGCTTACAGGCCAGAATCTTTTTTTTTTTTTTTTTTTTTTGCCGTGGGGGCGGCTCGCCAGACAGAGAGAGATAGAGAGACAGAAAGCGAGAAATCACCCCCCGAAGGGGGAAGGCCACGCTGCAATCCCTTCTCCTCCATTCTCCTCTCAGGATCTTGGGCACACACGCACACACACCCGGTGTGAGTTTTAAGCCACCAGGGCCGGGACACGAGCTGCGGTTGACTACATGGGATTTCAGCAACATAGCCATCATGCTAACTGCTGGTCCCTTCCTTTTTGTTTTGTTAGACATATCTGTTCCCTGGCTGTGGTTTCAAGGCCCAGCTCCTGTGAAAATTCAGCAATGCTAAAATTAAATTTTTTGCTACAAGTTGAACAGTGAAACAAGAGCAGTTAAGTAAAGAGAAACTACTCATTTTTAAGAGCAAGTCTGTTTAGGGGCCAGCAGGTGGCATAGCGATTAAGGTGCCCATCTCCCAGGTGGCCAATTCCATTTCTAATCTTGGACTGGGCTACTTTAAACTCATGCATGTGCATACCCAAGATCTCCAGAGTAGAGTGGAGGAGAAGGGATTACAGTATGGCCAATCCCCTTACAGGATGATTTCTCACTTTCTCTCTGTTGAGTGCATGCAGGCTATAGCAAAAACCTCTCTCAAGAAAAAAAAGCAAGTCTTTTCCTTCTATTTTTACTTAAGAATTATCTATTTAATTTTGTTTTTATTTACTTTTTAGTTTGACAAGAGAGAGAGAGAGAGAGAGAGCGAGAGAGAGAGAGAGAAAGGGGAAGTGAGAAAGAAAGCCACCAGGTTGGGGACGCAAAGTACAGTAGCCATGTGAGAGTCTAGCATCTTTAGCACTACACCACCTGCTGGGCCCTCTTTTTTTTTTTTTTTTTTTTTTTGGTTGTTTTGTATGTTGTAGGGCCTGTACATTCACTGGAGAGAGACAGAGTGACAGAAAGTGAGAAATCATCCTTCAGCACAATAGCCGTGCTGCAAGTCCTTCAACATTCTCCTCTTGGAATTTTGAGCATACATGAACATGTGCCTGGCGTTCTCACACCACTGGGTACAGGACTCAGTCATGCCACTGGGTACAGGACTCAAATAGTGCAATCAGCCACATGGGATTCAGCCACCTTAATCTCCACGCCATCAGCTGGCCCAAGAGCCAATCTCTTTAAGTCTTAAGTAGCATGTATGAGGAATAGTCCAAGGTATAAGAAAAATTGTATATCTTTTAATAAAGTGTGTATTAAAATTAGTGTGGATTAGAACTGGGCAGTAGAAATGAAGAGTATTATGTTTGGAATTGGAGTCAACACATTGGAGGTTTTAGAATGGTGTAGGAACTGGATATGAGTAGTAGGTTTCAGGAAAAGAGAAAAGACATTGTAATGACATAGTGGTTTTTTTTTCTGTTTATTAATATTAGTGGTGGCATTCCAGGAAAACTTAGGTGTAGTGTGCAACATTTAAAGAATTGGAACACAGAAGACAGGCAGAATATAACTAAAATTATTGCCATATCTTTATCTATGTATATAAACTTATCATATTGTTAATCTTCTTTTTAAAGATTTATTTTATTTGTTATTATTTAATTAGACCATAGAGAGAAAGGGAAAGTGAGAAAGTAAGCTGCCAGGTCCGGAACTCAAACTGTGGTGGGCTATGTGGGTGTCCAATACCTTAACCACGGAACCATCTACCGGCCCCCATATTTTTTCTAAACCTCCATTTTGTCAACCTGGTGAACACCATATAATCAACACAGTTATTAGGAGGACTAAATAAGTGAATGTGTGTTATCTATAAGCACATTGTCACGTGTAATGCAGATGGACTATTTTTTTTTCCCCTGGGTCTCACTTACAAATGGGTAAATCCATGCTACTTTTTAAATGATCCATTATCATCCTTTGTGTATGAGATAGATAGATTTAGTAGATTTAGTTATTGATATTTTAGGTGAAAATTTAACTTTGTAAAAATTTCTTTTACATCTACACATATGTGTATGTATAACTGAAGTGCATGGATATTACAGTTAGTGAAGGTGAGTAAACAAGATTTCAACAAATTTCAGCTACCGCTTTAATAAATATCAAGTAGAGTCACTAGATTTTTTTCTAACACTCAGTCATTTGATATTTTCTTATCACCACTGACCTAGTGTCAGTATGTAACAGTAGTGTTATAACCTAGGTACTCTTGCTACCTACTGGTACAGAGGTTTTCAGGGCTAGATTGGCAGGGTAATAAACAATTGATTCTTGAAAGTAGAATACATTTTTGAAGTGAATAATCTCATCAGGAAACATTCTTCCTTGATTAATATTTAATTCCATGGAAGAAAGATTTCAAAGTCAGGGTTGAATGAGGGCAGAAAGGGAGTGATATTCCAAATAGTGTGGTAAATGCTGGAGAACCATGGTTAACAAATGGAGGGATGATAAAACCTGAGAAACTCCTCATTATTCACGTAGAAGTAAAAAAAAAAAAAAATGCACCAATGGAATGAGTCAGGGATCTCTGTTTTGGAACCCCAGGAATAACTCTAGTCACCATGGACTAATTAACTTATAGAACTCAATACTTTTCATGTTCTAATCCATTTTTCTGTTTCTTGGGTGGAAGCTCATAGTCAAGGGAAACTCTGAGGCTTCATGATAAATGGGTCTGGACATTGTGCACAAGAGTTGCTTCCTTCTCTATCCAGTTTTTCCTGCTTAGTTCTTGGACTATTTATGAGTGAGAACCCAGAAAAAGACAGTGAGAAACTAAGTTATTGGCAGTGGATCCACTGGTGAGTATAGAATGCCTTTTTCTATACAAACTGCTCTCATGTCCCCAGATGGTCCAGTTTCCCCTATTTCTATGGATTTCCTAAGGGGTATCATGAATATTCAGGGATAAGGGTTTTTAGCCTTCATTAAGGTTGCATATTTTCAGAAGATAAGTGTTATTTTTTCTCTCATTGAGCTCATGGTCTCATTGGAAAATAAAATAATTGACTCATCATCCATGCATTTAACTGCAGTTGGTTTAAGTGTGGCGAAAGCAGGTTATAGAAATGAGTGAGGAGTAGAACTTCGTACTGCAATTGGGAGGCAGATGTTTTAGCAGGTGGCTCAATCAGTCCAGTGTTACAAGTCCTGGAATGAGGTCTGTGCAGTACTGAGGGACAATAAGAATGGTTTGGACAGGAAAAAGATGAAGAATCATTTACTTTTTTTCTTCTAACTTAAACTTTTGAAAAATTAATAAAATACATTTGAACTTTTAAAACATCTATAAAGATTTTTTTCTTTCTACCTTTTAGTAACTAATCATTTATTCACATTTAATACTAGGGAATAATGTATAGGAAGTAGTGTTAAATTTCTTATGGCTGTCCAATTAGGTGCAAAGTAGGAAAATGAATATAATAGGTAGAATAAAATTGCAGTCTTGGGAAAAGCTGGATAGAGTCTTATGTTTTACTTGAACAGAGGATAAGATACAAGGCATCAGTAATGGAGCTTGCAGGTGGTGTGGTAATTTAGGCACTGGGCAACCACATGTCTGACTGTGGTTCTAGTCCTTTACCCAGTGGCTTGGAAATCAAACCAGGCATATGTGTTTTGTGCCCAAAATAACCAGAGGAGACTGGAGGAGAAGGGATTATGGCATGGCCATTCCCACTGGGAGGTGATTTCTCACACACTCTGTCTCGCTGGTGAGCACACGCATTTTATAGTAATAAAATCTCCCCCCTTCAAAAAAAGAAAAAAAGGCAGGCAATAATAAGTAGTGTTTGGCATTCCCAGTGAAATTCAGAATACTAATAGTTTTTCATACATTCTCGTTAGGTAGGAAGAACTTTATACAGTCATTGGTTATTTCAACACTCCAAAATATTAAACCATCTCATGGATGAGGAATCTGAGGCTCACATAGGGATTTAAAGAAATTTAAAGAAAGTCACGACTTAAAAGTGGCATCTTATTACAGTTTTCCTTGTGGTAAGTTTGTAAAGTACTTAAAATTCAAGAGGAAGATAGTTTTAGTTATGAAATTTAAAGCGCAAACTTTATAATGAACCATCTGGAATTCATAATAGACACTTTATTGATAATTTTCCAAGTCGTATTACACCATACCTCTTTTTTTTTTTAAAGATTTATTTTAAGTTTATTCATTTACTTATTTATTTTAATTTGACTAGAGAGGGACACAGAGAGAGAGAAAGTGAGAAAGCAAGCCACCCATTCCAGGACTTGAACCACCGTCTGGCATGTGGGAATCCAGCACTCTTAACCACCACACCATCTGCTTGCCCCAATAGCATTATTTAAAAAAAAAATGGCACTTAGAATGAATAAACTGGATCCCAAAACACAGTTCGATCTGTGAACTCAGTTTCTCTTGCTGGCTCAGCATTGTTGTCTCAACGCTTTCACTCTGGACATTGGTAAGATGGCTCTATCTAAATTAGAATGTTCATGATGTTCTAGGAATCAGTGACCTTTGAAGATGTCACCATTGACTTCACTCCGAAAGAATGGACCCTACTGGACACATCGGGGAGAAAACTATACAAAGATGTGATGCTGGAAAATATTAGTCATCTGGTATCTGTTGGTAAGTCTGTTAGTAGGTTTTTTTTTTAATAATTATTTATTTAACCTTGTCTATTCATTCATTTATTTTTATTTGACCAGAGAGAGAGAGAGGGAGAGAGAGAGAGAAAGTGAGAACGCAAGCCGCCAGGTATGGGACTTGAACCATACTCAGGCATATGGGAGTCCAGCATCCTTAACTACCATGCCACCTGCCAGCCCCCCATAAATAATTCTTAAAAAAAAAAAATAAAGTCAAACCACAAACAGTCCCTTTCTGGAGGACTTATGATCCATGTCCCTTACACGTCTAATAATAATAATAATAAAAATATATATAAAAAAAGAAAGGTCCAGGACTGGAACCATGGTCAGCCATGTGGGCATTTCCAGCACCTTAACCACCATGCCCTCTGCTGGCCCTGTGTAGTTCTTTATGTAGGTGTGCCTGTATCTATTCACTACATTAATCATCAGGGATGTGGAAGAGCTTCCTCATATCTTGCTCCAATCTTTTTCTTGATTCTTCCCTAGACCCAATAACCATATTACAGAAATTCTTTGATGACATATTATTTACATCTAGTTTGTCATGGCATTAGAATGTGGTCTTGACCATAATTTGGTATCTTTATTTCTCTTTTTTGTTTATTTAGTATTTTTCTATGAGTGAGGGAGAAAGAGAGAGAAAAAATAGGAGAGATGAAGACTCCTAACAGAGCATTTGTTCTGTAGTCTACCCCAAGTTTCAGCCAGTTGAGATTATGGATACACATGTGCACATCTGAAATACTCTGGGCGGCCTTGGGACTTGAACTGAAGACTTCTCCCATGTGGGTCCTGTTGTATTATTGGTGCACCACTCCTATACTTTCATGTGTTTCTTGTCACGAAATCTCTAAAACTCAGGCCAGAACTGGGAATTCAGTAAATATCCTTGAAATCATAAATAAATAAGATAAATTTATAAATATGATCATTCTTGGGATTTGGTTATAAGACCCCCCCCTCACATGCTAATATTCAAAGGTTTTGTAGTTCCTTATATAAAATGGTATATTATTTGCATATAATCCTCATACATTCTCCAGTATATCTTAGATAATCTCTAGATCAAAGGTAATAGTTAATACAATGTAACTAACTAACATATTAAGTTTTTTATTGTTACAGGATTACTTTTACTTTTTTTTTTCTTTTCATTTTTTGGAGAGGTTTTTGCTATAGGGCGTGTGCACTCGCCAGACAGACAGACAGACAGACAGAAAGCAGGAAATCACCCCCCAGGGGGGATGGCCATGCTGCAATCCCTTCTCCTCCATTCTCCTCTTGGGATCTTGGGCACGCACGCACACACGCCCGGTGAGTTTAAGCCACTGGGTCCAGGACTTGAACTGCAGTCGACTATGTGGGAGTCCAGCAACATAGCCATTACGCTAACTGCTGGTCCCAAGGATTACTTTTACTTTTTAAAAGTTTCAATGTGTGGTTCCTTAAATCTACTGCTATGGAACCCATGGATATTGAAGGCCAAATGTAATTAATTATTCTGCTCTAGGCAATATGTTGAGGCTTGAGATCAATGTGAAAATAGCAGAGTTTTGATTATTCCTATAGAGTTTTTGTTTCTTGGATTGTACTTGAGTAAAATAGTCATCCCACTGCAGAAGCATTTGATTTCTCTGTTTTTGAACAGACTTAAAATTCTGTATCCTGACTTCGAAGTTGGCATCAGTGTCCTCAGGTCCTCACTATTTTGAGCACATAATTGGGATTTCTCCCAATTATGGGAGAAATTATTTAGTGAAGGCCCTTCAATGCTTTCTGTGTTAAATATGTTACTTGTAATGGCGTCCAAGGTTGTCCATATTCTTCCTCCATGGGCTTGCATGGACTTGATGATAATATACATTTATTATCATAAAATTCAAAACTCTCTGCCTGTGTCCCATGAACAGGGTATCAGTTCTGCAAATCAGATGTGATTTTCCATTTAGCAAAAGATGAAATGGAGTGGACAGTGGAAGGAAGAGGATTTTCTCAAGGCCAAAGTCCAGGTGAGCTGCAGGGACTTACACTGCCATATAGGCAGATGCTTGGTTTATTCTCTTGGTATTATCAGCTGCAGATTTTGTTACATAAGATGTTTTCTAAAATATAGGAGAGGACTTTGGGCCAAAATATTTTAGATACTCTTATTATTTCTTTCAAACGTTATTTATAATATATGTGTCCTCCTGGCATAATTTCTCACTTTAGGAAAATAATAATTGATCTTTTGAGTTGTCACAAAAGTCATGATGCATATTTTTCACAGAGAAACAGAAAAATATGTCATGACTTTTCTGATGACCCAATATTGATTGGATTTTCATTTAGGCATGAGGACTTTTGTTCTGAAATCCCTTTTAAATACTTCCCCTTCTTAACTGACCTAACACATGTGTGTTTTATTTTTTTTTAAGTTTCAATCCTGAAAATTTTTCCTATTTATTCTATAATGTATTTCTTTTTTTTTCTTCTTTTTTTCTTTTCTTTTTTTTTGGAGAGGTTTTTGCTATATGGTGCGTGCGCTCGCCAGACAGACAGAGAGAGACAGAGAGATAGAAAGCGAGAAATCACCCCCCAGAGGGGATGGCCACGCCGCAATCCCTTCTCCTCCATTCTCCTCTTGGGATCTTGGGCATGCACGCACACGCACCCGGCGTGAGTTTAAGCCACTGGGTCCGGGACTTGAACCGCGGTTGACTATGTGGGAGTCCAGCAACATAGCCATTACGCTAACTGCTGGTCCCTATAATGTATTTCTTTAACCTTTAGTATTCATTCACTTGTCACATTTGTTCCATCTAACTGCCGTGGTTTTTTTTTTTTTATTTAAGATATTTTTATTTTAATTTACATGTAATCACATATATCTTTATAGTGTACAACATTGCTTTTTCCAGCGCATATACACGCTTATCAGTCAAGACAAAGATATTCCTATATACATTATCATCAGCAAATAGCTTTTTATTTTCTTGTCAATGAAGCATAATTTTTTAAAAAAATTCTTCCCCTGCTCCACTTCTCTGCCATTGTTCACTCCTGTATTATCTCTGTCCTTGCTATCTCTAGTACCCATCGTTCCCCTCCCTGCCACCATATCTTCAAAACTTCAGTTTTTACTATAGAATGCAGACAATTGATATATATCGTGAAGTCTCTCTTTCATAGACTGGCTTGCTTCACTGAGCATTAAATCTTCTGTATTTGTCTGCTTTGTATCAGATGTCAGAGTCTCATTGTTTTTTATGGCTGAGTTGTATTCCATAGAGTACATATGCCACATTTTTTCAGTCCTCTCACATAGTTTTGGACATTTGGGTTGATTCCATGTTCTTGTGATTGTAAATAATGCTCAATAAATATGGATGTGCAAGTGTTTTTCCAGCTGAGGGTTATTCTATCATTTGGGTAAATACCTAAGAGTAGAATTACTGGGTCATATGGTAGTTCTATTTGTAGGTTTCTGAGGAATCTCCATATCCTTTTCCAAAGTTGTACTAATTTGCATTCCCACCAACAATATAGGAGAGTTCCCTTTCACCACAGACTCGCCAGTACTTAGCATTATTTATCTTTTAATTGTATTCATTCTGACTGAGTGAAGTGGTATCTCATTGTGGTTTTGATTTGTATCTTTCTTACCATAAGAGATGTTGAGTATGGTTTCATATGCTTTTGTACCATTTGTATATCTTCAGAGAATTGTCTGTTTAGCTCATTTTCCCATCTTTTAATTAGATGGTTTTTGTGGGTAAGATGCTTGAGTTCCCTGTATATTCTGGTTACTAGTCCCTATCTGAGGTATAGTTTCCAAAAATGTTCTCCCATGCTGATAGTTGTCTTCTTTAATTATTGTTTCTTTGGCTGTGCAGCACCTTCTCAGCCTAATAAAATCCCATTTGTCTATTTTTGGGATTGTTGCCTGTGCTTTGGAGGTCTTCTTTAAGAAGTCTTTTGCTATTCCAAGGTCTCCAAGAGTTCTTCCTCTGTTTCCCACCATTATTTTTATGGATTGAGTTTTTATGTTTAGATCTTCAATCCATTTTGAGTTAATTTTTGTGAGTGGTGAGAGATAAGGATCCAGTTTCTTTTTCTTTTTTTTTCTTTTTTAGGAGTTTTTAAAATGTGTCCTAAAGTCATTGAAGCAAAAATCAATATAAAACATTCTGCTTTCTTTTACAATTCCCCAATGCAAACAAACAAACAAAACCTATTTATTTGTAGGAAAAAAATGGTTTTGTACATGGGATAAAACAATATAAATTCAAAACGTAGAGATAAGGGTTAGTTCTTATCTCTTTAAAATGTTTATATGAATATCCAGTCAAAGCTAACAAGAGTATCTCTCTTGAAATGTTATTTCTGTGGCTTTCCAAGTACACCACAGGACTGCACACTGTCTTGGAATGTTTCCAGAAGGCTCTCTCAGTGATCAGGTAACAGAGTAAAAACCTCAGGGTCCTTTCTTTCAAATGGAAGAGGGAAGACGGACAGAGAAACTATTCAAACTTCATCTTCTTTCCTTGTGGCTTATGGTCTCCTCCTCCTCTGCCTCCTCAGAAACCATCTTGTCCTCCAAAGCCTCCTCAGCCTCTGCCACCTAATCCATTTCTGCCACTCAATCCACTTCTACCTCTGCCTTCACCTTGGCCTCCAAAGCCTCCTTTGCCACCAAATCCACCTCTCTCCTCCACCTTGGCCTCCAAAGCCTCCTTTGCCTTCACCATGACCCCTGAAGCCACGTTCACCCTTAGGCTTGGCCCAGTCCATAGTAACTTTGTTTCCATCAATTTCACCATCTTCCATGGCCTCCTTGGCAGCTTTGGCATCTTCCTTACTATTGAAGTCTACAAAACCAAACCCTTTGGAGGATCCTGTTTCCTGCTCAGTGACTATCTTTGCACGAATAGAGCCATCAAGAGACTCCTTTAATGTCTCTTCGGTGGTATTCTCAGACAGACCTTTGACAAACACTTGGAGGGCTGACTTCTTGTGTTAGATGATCCCCTGGGTCCTTGCAGCTTCAGCCTGATTGCTCTGCCTTTAATTTCCCTCTTATTACAGGAGTTTAAAGCTTCTTTACCATCTTTAAATGAAGCAAATTCTATAAACGCATACCTTGTAGATTTGCCATTTTGGCTCTGAGGCACTTTGATAAAAGTTGCCTTCTCAAATACTTTCTGAAGTGTTTCTTCGGTTGCATTGTAGGAGAGATTGCTCAGAACCAGAGTTTTTGATTCACCACTTACTCAAAGTGCCATTTTACTCCAAGTGCTATTCTTCCCACCTCTGCAGTCTTGATTTTGACCTTTCTCTCCAGTGTAGTATAGAGAAATGGACTGCCCATCAATCTCTGTTCCCTGCTTTTCTTCTAAGGTTTTCTCTACATCACCTTCTGTCTTAATTTCAATATAAGTAATTCCTTTACTTTTTTCATCTCTGCTGATTATTCTGATCTCCATGTCATCTTCAAATACTGAGTGACTTTGTAGGGGAGATTTTTGGCCAAAAGTGTTCTTATATCTTCCTTTTTGTCTTTTCCTTTTGGTTTCTCTAGTCTAATTTCATTGCCAAAGACATTTATTTATTTATTTATTTGCCAAAGACTTTTAAACTGGTGAGTTCCAAAGCTTTTTCTAGATCTTCAGCAGATTCAGTCAGCATAGCCAAACTTCCTAGATGTACTGATTCTGACTTCCACAACAGCAAGATCATTTTTAGCAAAAACATTACTAATAGCAGTTTTTAATTTAGGAGTAGATTTGTTATTGTTCAGGTTTCCAACAAACAGATGAAAGGGTGTAGTTGGTTCTGTGGCTTCCACTTTCTGTTTCTTGGCCTCAGGAGCTGCTTTCTGTTTGGTTATTTCCTTCTTTCGCTTTCTAGGAACATCTTTGCTAGGGTTTTCTTCCTTCTAATTTTCCTCATCCTTATAGTCTTTATTAGCACCATCCTTCCTCCTTGTCTTCCTCCTCATTATCCTCATCATCATCCTTTTCATCTTCATCTTCAGCCGTGGTCTTGGCTTTCACAGGCACAGCTTTTGCAGTTTTCTTTCCTTTGGCTGGTGTGGCCTCCATAGCTTCTTCAGACTCATCTTCCTCATCTTCATCTTTGTCCTCATCCTCCTCCTTTGAGGCCAGGGCTGCAGCTGCTGCTTTGATCAGCACTCTCGAATTCATTCTCATCTTCATCCTCATCATAATCAACTTCCTCACTGCTATCTTCCTCCTCATTGCTGTCTTCCTTTTTGGGATTCTTGCCATTCTTTGCCCCCTTTGCTGGGGTGGGAGCTCTTTTCTTACTAGTAGTTGCTACCAATGCTTTGCCCAGTGTGGCTCCCTTCTTGCCAGGTGTTGTGACTGTTTTGACTACTGTAATGACTACTTCTTGTACTGTATGGCAGCTGCCTTTTTGCCTGGGCTGATTGCTGCTTTCTTGGCAGGTGTGGGAACTGCGACCCTTTTTGTTGGAGAAGCTACCACCTTTGCTGGAGTTGTGGCAGCCTTCTTACCTTTTTTCTGAGGGACGATAACCTCTTCTCCACTGCTATCATCTTCATTTTCTGACATTTCCTCATCTTCACTTCTACCTCCTTTGGAGGAAGAGCCATTTTGGGGGAGGGGTGGTCACCTTGATTTTTACCAACCTTAGTGAGGTTCACCAGGATGGTGGCTTACAATGGCAGAGTGTGTGGTGGGCCAGTGGCGCAGATGAGTCTTGAGGAATTCCAGCAACATTGATGGTGGCTGTGCGCAATGAAGATCTTGGAGTGTGTTTGCTTGGCTGCCAGCTAGATCTTGAGACTGAGGTGAAAGATTGATCCAGTTTCATTCTTATGCAGGTGAATATCCAGTTCTCCCAGCACCATTGCTGAAGAAATGAAATTTCTTTTTCCACTGGATTGTCTTCTACCTTTTGTCAAGGTTAAGTTAGATGTATGTTTTGGGGTTTATTTGGGGGTTCTCAGTTCTGCCCCATTTGTCTACCTGTCTGTGTGCTTGCC